GCGGGAGGGACGGAGCGAAGGACGCACCACACACCACCAGATGAAAAGAGAATCCCCCAGCAGGAGAAACAGTTAGGGGGCGGCGCACAGCAGCGCGCAAAGCAAAGCCCAAGCAAAGAAAAGAGAAGAAACTACGCCTCCCCTTCCCACAGTGCGTGTCGTCGAGGGCAAGTGGGTCGGCGTTACGCCCACAACGGGGCAGCAATGAAACAGAACATAAGAGCTCCAGCAGCCAAGGGGGTTGGCCTGCAGGGGTTCGCACCCACAGCGGGGAGAGGAGCACCACACAGACCACCTCCCAACAGCAGCAGACCAACATGCGCATCGTGGCGCAGCACACACACACACAGGTGAGAGACACTTAGAAGAATACCTCAGAGAAGGCCCTCTCATGTAGGCGGTGCATAATCATGTGCCAAGCAAAGCCCATTACAGCAGTGAGAGAGATGCGCTGCCCTCGTTGGATACAGAGCACAGGGAGTATCCTCCAAGGGGGATTAGGTGGCGGGGGAAACAAACGAAAATGAAACCAAAAGTAAAGTAATCCAAAACATGTTAGCAAGCAATCTCCAGGGCAGCACACACAAGCACAAGGTGTATGCGTCCTCTCCGTGTGCACACACACAGAGGTCAGCACACAGCCAGGAGGCCCAGCACACCAACCACCAGCAACAAGGGTGTACGCACCCACAAAGGACTGAAGCTGCTGTCCCTACTCGGGGCATCACTCAGGGTGTTGTGTACATTGCTCTTCATGGAGTTTGCGTCCTTGTTCTCCTCCGATGGTACTGATGACGACTGCGCTGTGTCGGTTGCCGTGGTGCCCGCTTGCTCTTGATCAGAAGGGTTGCCACCAGTGGAAGAACTGCCCAGTGGTTCCTGTTGGAGACTCTGGCTGTGTGACTCGTCCTGTGACGGTTCCACAGGTGGATGTGACGGAGGCTGATCATCTGAAGGTGAAGCCTCAGGTTCCTCCCCTCGTTTTTTAAGAGCTTTTACCGCAGTGTCGATCTCTTTCAGCAATAACTTAGCGCTATTGACAGCTTTCTCAACTTGTGTAGTTGTCTCACCGGCATCAACGGAAGCTTTTCCCGCGTCTCCCTTTGCAGCCTTTGCAAAGTCAGCAGCTGTTTTTGCGGCATTCTTTAGTTTCTCGATGTCAGGTGTCGATATTGCGGTGGTCTCCACTTTGAAAAAACCAAACGCTTCCTCAGCACTTTTCTTGGCATTAAAAGCGTTCTTTTTCTCCGTCGTCGCAGCCGTTTTTGCTTCTCCAGCACTTTTCTCAGCTTGTGTCAATGCTGTAACAACATCTGATAGTTTATTGAATCTCTCCTGTGCGAGCTTCGCTTCGTTGCTGATACCTTCACCCGCGCCCCCCGCGGCGCCAGCCGTCTCCCGTGCTTTCGTGAACAACTCCTTTGCTTTAGTCGTTGTTTCCACTGCTTTAGTAACCTTCTCCACGATTAACTCAACGGATGCGTAAGAAGTGCTCGTCGTGGTCATTGCGGTATTCGCCAAGTTTTTTACCTCAGCAATATTGTTCTGCTCAATATTGTTTTTTGGCTTCACCTCCTCATTTAGCCTGTCCGCCGCTTCTGACGCCGTTTGTGCATTAACCTTGAATTGCTCCGCTTCACTCTTTACAGCTTCAACCTTACTCTTAGCGTCAATCACTGCCTTCTGGGCGACAAGCGCTTCCTCCTTCGCCTTCTGCAGGTTAGCAATCACTTGCTCCACGTCGCCAATAACCACAGCAGTGGCCGCTGCACAGCCACACACGCAGCACAGCACGACGGCCACCACAAACAACGCGGGGCGCCCCACCGCCGCCATCATCACAGCCCGAGGCACACTGGTCTACAGAGGGGGAGGGACGCACAGCGGGGTACACAAGCACAGCAGGGGAGAGCAGCAGCGCACCACACAACTCAACGGACAACTAGAAGAGTAACACATCACTCAAACAAAACATTAGTGGCAGAGCACAACGAGCCACACAAAAACAGATATCCAACAACCCCCAAAAAAGGATGAAAAACAAGTCGCAGTCGTAACGCCCATTTAAAAGTGTGGCTGTGTGTTGTTAAACAGTTGCCTGCTGGTGTCCCTCTGTGCTGTCAGCGGGGTGCAGCGGGAGGCGGTGCGGCACTCCATACCACGCCGCAGCGGAGCGCACAGACACAAGCGCGGAGAAGCAGCGGGCACACGCCCCGAGTGCACTCCGCAAGCCTTGAGAGGGGCGCAGCGCACAAGAGGAGCGGCAGCAGCAATGAAATGAAAAGAAAAGAGCTGCAGCAGCCAATGGAGTTGGCCTGCGGGGTGCAATACACACAAGCGCAGACTAAGGCGCAGTTAAAGGATGTTTTGCCAAGATGAGAGAGACGCAGTGATGCGTCAAGCAAAGCCCAAGCAAAGGGGGGAAGAAAAGACGCCTTGGCAGACTACACCGAGCACAATGGACATCGTCATAGTATAATCAATGCCCCAAAGCCCGCAAAGAGGCAGCAATTAAGAAGTGTAGGTTTATGTGTATTATGGGGAGAATAAAGCACCTGCTGAGTTAGTCAACAGGGCTGCACGCAATTATGGGTGGAGCACCACCGCCCAGTGCCCACAGCGCCCACTACAGAGCAAGGTAGGTCAGCGCTCCCAGGAGCATCAGCAGCGGAGGTAGCCGCATCCGCACATCGCTGCTGCCGTCGCCAGTGCCGATGCCGCGACCCGCAGGCGACTTTGGTGTAGCTGGGAGTTGCGGAGGGTCAGCAGACGCCGGTATAGGGGCGACGGAATCCGTGCTGGTCGCATACTTCTGCACCTCAACATCCCCGTTGTTCGTGGACTCCGCCACAGGGCCTGTGGGCGCTGCCGGGGGTGAAGGGGCTTCGGACGAGACGGTGGCATCACCGGTACCGTTGTCCTCTGTTTCTGCTAAACCGACACTAGCGGCGGCTTTCGCCCGCTCCTCTTCCGTGCGTTGCACATGTCCTTGCTTGGAGAGAAGGTCCCCTGACTCCTCAGTTGTGTGTAGATCACACTCTTTAGCCAGCTCATCTTCCTGTTGCTTCTTGTCTTCTGCCACCTTTTTCTCAGCCACAATTGCATCTCGTTCCTGCCGAGCACTGTTGAGCCGCTCTTCAGCCTCTTCACGGAGTTTCGTTGCGGCCTGAAACTCACCCTCAACAGCCTTCATTACTGTTTGAGCCTGCTGATCTGCCTTCTGGGCGGCCTCAAGCAGGAGCGGTGCCTGCTTTTCCGCTTCAGTGACGTTTGCCATCGCTTTGTTGACACAGATCACTGCGTCCCTAGCGGCGTCGTCCAAAGTGGTGGCCATATTCTTTGGGTCCTTATCTGTCCCTGCCTCTGCCCATCTGGCCACTTGAGCTGTGGCCTTGACCCACCGCATCGCATTCTGAGCATTCGCCCTCGCCATCAGTCCATTTTTCGCTGCACTAGTTGCCTCCGCCACTGCGTCCTTAGCGTCCACCGCCGCCGCCTCCTTGGCAAGGCGCGCAGTTTCTGTGCCATTCCCCGCGGCCCACTGCGCCACCAGAGATGCGGTGTACACATGATTCACTGCGAACTCATCCCTCTTCGCGGCTGCGTCAGTCTTTTTCGCTGTCTTGATCAGTTGAGTCGTTCAAGCCTTGCTTTTAACCACAGCAGGAACACCTTCAGCACGAACATTGCTCACTGGCACCTTTGGGATCTTTAATGCCTGCTGCGCGAGTGCCAAGACCTCCCCCACTGCCTTTTTTGCTTCTTTGACTAATTTTATAGAAGCACTTGTATTCTGCACGGCTACTCCAGCCATCACCTTCGTTGTGTTTGCCTTCTCCACAGCCAACATTGCTTTCTCAGCTGAAACTCTCGCCGCCTCTTTTTCGTTGTTCGCAGTTTCAACTTTAGCCTCTGCAGCCTCCACTGCCACTGCTTGTTCGGCTGCCGTGGCGGAGACGGACACACAGAGCAGCGCAAGGGAAAACACACAGAGAACACGTCCGTGCACCATAACAGGAACAGTCATACTGGCTTGGGTGGCTTGGACTTACTTGTCTACCGGGGAGAGAGAAGAGCACAGGCAAACACTTACAGACGCACAATACACACACACACAACGGGGAGAGCAGCACCACACAGACCACCTCCCACAGCAGCAACCGCAGCGGCCCAACATGCGCAGCGTGGCGCAGCACACACACAAAGATAAAATGAGAATCCCTATCTGGAAAAACAGTTAGTGAGCGGCGCACAGCAGCGCGCAAAGCAAATCCCAAACAAAGAAAAGAAAAGGAAAGAAAAAGAAAATCAAACCCTTCAAAGACAACGCCAAGCACAAAGCGTGTCATCTAGGGCAAGTGGGTCGGCGTTACGCCCACAGCGGGGCAGCAATGAAACGAAAACAAAAGAATCTAAACAATCAGGAGTGCAGCTCTCAGCACTCAACGCATTTACGGTGGAAACATCATCGTCCCATGCACACACAGAGGTACACACACAGGCACACAGACGTCTTACCACACGGCCACACAGGCGAGCAGCAGCATCAGCGGCGCACGCACCCACGCAGGGTTGCTGCTGGTGTCAGTGTTGTTTTTGTTTGTTGCAGTCGAAAGGGGTGCTGCATATTCTGCTGTAGATGGGTGGGAACCAGAAGCACTCCCCTTAATCACCACTTTGTCGAGATGCTCCATTTCATTCTTCAGCGCTTCCAACTCCTCCTGCGCTTCCCTCATCGTAGTTTGAGCTTCTCTTTTCGGTGCCGTTGATTTTATCTCTGCGTCGGTGACGACACGGATTGCGGCTTCCACAGAATGCCGAACCAATGTGGTGTTCTTTGTTGCCTCAATAGCAATAGCCCCTGCACTTTCACCTAATGCCCCAGTGAACTCGTTTACAGCCACATTTAGCATGCTTTTGAGTTTATTCAGTTTTGTACTATATTCTGGCGGTGAAGGTGTCGCAACCTTTTTCACGACACTTAATGCCTCCTCTGCTGCGGCGCGCGCTGCTTTCAATGCCTTGCAGAGCTCAACCGACGCAATATGTGTCTTCTGCACCTGCTCAAAGTACTCACCCACCGCCTTCTTTGCAGCGGCCGCAGTTGTCTTGGCTTTACTCACCGCCGCCTTGATGTACGCCTCCGCCCCTGCGGAGTCAGCCTCCGCGCTGTCAGCGAGCCGCACTGCCTCCTCAGCCTTCGCCACTGCGCCTTTAGCCTTATTCAGTTAACCCTCAGCCTCTGATTTCGTTTGTTCAGCGCTCACCAGCATGGCCTTAGACGCACTTTCCATCGCCGTCGCGTTTGTCTTGACATCCTCTTTTTTGGCAGCTTCTTTTGGGGCATCCTCCGTATTTGTAGGCGTTGTACCCGGGTTCAGTTTGTTAACATTCGCTTTTAGCTCCAACACTTTGACATACGCTTCAATCGCCGCAACTTTGGTCGTGTTTGCGTTCCGTACAGCTGACTTCATTGCGTCCGCAGCCTCAGAGACTGCTACCCGGGCCTTCTCAAGGGCAGACACTGCGACTTTAGCGTCCCATGCACGGCCCCTTGCTTCCTCATATGCGCCTTTCTTCGTTTGAACCTCCGCCTCCTTCTTCGCAATCGCGGCTTTGATACCCTGAAGTGCAGCTTCTGGGGACTCGCCGCCACCACCCGCAGCTGCCACACCTTCAGCCACAACTGGCTGCACAGAGAGGGCATCAGCAGCAGCAGCCACGCACAAGGCCGTGCAGCACAGAGCAGCGGCCAACGCACACACAACGCGGCGCACTGTCACCATCATTCAATAACGCTTGAGCAGCTGGGGTCTGCGGGGAGGAGAAAAGAGAGACAATACACAACAGGCAGCCCCAACACACACACACACGGAGCGGAAAAGAGAATCCCCCAGCAGGAGAAACAGTTAGTGGGCGGCGCACAGCAGCGCGCAAAGCAAAGCCCAAGCAATAAACGAAAAGAAAAGAAACAATGCCTCCCCTTCCCACAGTGCGTGTCGTCGAGGGCAAGTGGGTCGGCGTTACGCCCACAACGGGGCAGCAATGAAAACGAAACAAAAGAATCTTATCAATCAGGAGTGCAGTCCTCAGCACTCAACGCAATTACGGCGGGAGCATCATCGTCCCATGAAGACACGCACAAGTCTTACCACACGGCCACACAGAATCCACCAGCAGCGTTCGAGGTGTGCGCACCCACGCATAGATGACACTGCTTTCATGAGTGTGATGAGCAATAAACGTCTTTCCATTTCTTCTGTCGCTGAGCCTTGCACCAGAAGTAGTTTTCTCTTCCGTTGAAGAGTAATGCGTCGCAGTGTTTTCTTCTGCAGCAGCTGCTCGCCCTCCTCAGTAAAGTACCGAAAGGAAGCAGTCTCTGGCCAGTGCGCGGCAGTGTAGTCGTTGGCTGCCGCCATTCACTACATGGACGGCGATCTCAATTGTCTGCACACATCACTCCATACCGCACCTGCGTGGCTGCGAGCATGGTGGGAACTCCCAGCGTGTGCCTGAACACCTACTATCCCCGCGGGCAAACAGGGTGTGCGTAACGAGAAGAGAAAAGAAACGGAGAGAGAAACAGCGTTACTGCCAGGGGAAGCGGCAGCGTGCTGACCAACTGCACGCACAAAGGGGGAGAGCACCGCAAGATTGCATCACCTACTCAGAGGCCCAAGGAGAGTCACTGAAGGGGTGGGGACCAAAAGGAAGACCAGACGATGGAGAGCAGCACTGATGGAGACACTTCGTTCGCTCTTTTTCTTTTTGTTTGTTAAGAACTCCCCGCTCGCCCCTTCCCCACCAGTGGCATTCGTCGCCCCCCACGCCTCGCCCCTGCGCACTACTACCGGGAATAATAGGAGTAATGGAAAATTCATAGCAGAAGTAATAAAAAAGAAATGAAAGAAGGCATATTCTCTCTTGGCTGGATATCACGTAACCACATAGCAGCCGAGGTGCTTGGAGATATTTGTTTTTCTTTTTAATTTGATTTGTTCGTCTTCTGTTGCTTTTTTTGCTGTTGCTTTACTTGTTCTTATTCCTGTTTTCGCACTGTGCTGTTGCTAACTCTTATTTTCCTTTTTTTTTTGCTTTTATGCCTTTCTCCGTCCTTCCTCTCTCCCCGCCCACTGCCAGGAGGAGCAGCCGACACGTACGCAAGGGGGCACACACGCGGTGTGTGTGTGTGTGTGTGTGCCCAAACCCCCCAAAAAAACAAAAATAAGAAAAATGAAACGGGGCAGAAGCGGCCGTACGGAACCACGCAGCGACGTCTTATACGATTTCCCAGCCAGGGTCTTGCGCATCCATCCACCGCACCACACAACGGCACACACACACACACACACACGCACAGAGGGAGAGAGAGAGAGAGAGAGATATGCAGAGGTATACATTGCATGCAAAGAGCATGCGGTTTCCCCTCTATGTGCATGTAGCATATATGTATGCACGCAAGACCCTCTCCCCCGCTTACACGCGGTAGTAGCGGCCGCCGTAGTCTGCCTCCTCGTTCGTCTCACGCTGCAGCAGGCACGTCACGATCATGCCGATGAACGCGGCCGCCGCGACACTGAAGCCGATTGGCAGCACTTGCTTCATGTGGCTCTGGAAAGCATCCATCACCGCAGACTCGCACGTCTCCGTGTATGTGTCGATCTTCTGCTGCTCCTCTTGAGGGCAGACAGGGCACGGGGTAGTGGCGTTCTCCGCCACGCTCGCGACGGCCTTCGAGTCCGTCGGCATCATCATCATCAGTGGCGGTCGGTGATTCTCGCCAGTGCCGCTGCTGCTGCTGTTGGGTACTGGCATTATCGCGTCGGGAGTGGGCAGTAGTGGGCGGGCGACGCGGTCGTTGTTCACGGCCGCCGTGTGGCAGAGCGACTTCCACCCGGAGCACTCGAACTGCAGCTCTAACCCGCACATCTCCTCCCCTCGGTTGGCGACGGAGTCATTCCAGCTGTCCTCCAGCCCGAGGCGGTTCGTGCTGATGAGCGTGTACACAACAGAGAAGCCCAGTGCCACCACGAACACCACCAGCAGGTAGAAGAAGTAGAGGCCACGCAGGCACGGGTTACGCGTGCAGAGTGCGAGGAAGCCGAGGAGGGAGAAGCCAAGGAGTGCGCTGAAGCAGGAAATGTACGCGATGAACACGGCGTGGCAGGAGCGGCACAGATCGTTCAGCGATGATTCTATCTTGTTGCGCTCGATCAGCCCAACAGCAAGACCGCCAATGGCGCCAGCGGTCAGCAGCACGTTCATCCCCATTAGTAGCGCGCGGAAGAACATGAGGCACCCGCTGTTGCGTCTCCCCGACCCGTATTGTGGATCGTAGTAGTAACTAGTCTTCATTTCCTCGTTTACTCGGTGCTGGCTGGCTTCGCTGTTACTCCTTGCTTGTTGTTGAAAACGTACGTCCCAATGGGACCTTTGCAGTATACCTTCCTTTGCGTTGTTTCCCTGGCCGCGGATTGCCCGAGAAGCGGAAGCCGAAGCGCGAGGACAAAAAAAAAAACAAGAGCGGCACATACAGAGGAGAGGGTCACATGCACTTTTGCCATGCGTAGGTGTGTGGGGCCGCAACCCGGCGGCGATGCGAGTGCTACACAAGGGAGAAAAGAGAAACTGTGTATTCTTCTCGTCTGCACCTCACTCGATATTCCTTCAAGCTGCTGCTGCTGCTGGCGGTGACAGTCACGTAACGGAAAGCAGGCGGTGATGTTGCAACCGATGCAGCACCTCCCCCTTTCCCACATTGGGCGCACACAGCACAGCGGTGCCAAGAGGGAGAAGGCAAGAGGCATCGAAGTGCCGTCGCCCACAGTCTTCTGCTTCCTCCCGCTGTTGCCGTTGCCCTCCTCCAGTGTGTACATATGCCTGAGCACAACAGGAAGAGATGCCACACACACCAAACACAAGTAAAACACAAAAAAAAAAGACAGGGCTAAAGAATAGATACACCGAGTGTACCAGCGTCATAAACGCCATATATGTGTGCGACACAAGAATCAGCACCAGCATACGCGCAGCGTTAAGGAAAGATGAATTATAGGTTTAAAGGCCTGTGGTGCTACACAGTTCCCCTCCTCTCCCCCTTTCTCCCCCGTGACAGCAGAAGTAGATTAGGCTTGCGTTATTACCACTACACAAAAGCGGAACACCCAAACAACAAAAACAAACAGCACATCTTCAGCGCACACTAACAGTGGGGTCACAAGTGGCCCCTGCATCGCCCATTCAGGCTCAACACTCACCCACTCTGAGAAAGAGTGCTAAGCGCAGAACAGCGTGAGGGGGGTGGGGGGAGGAATGAAGTCCAAGCCATGAGTACATAAATAAGACCGTCATAAAAAAATATCCATAACTTCAACAGCACGCCACGCGCACACACACACTTTGCGGCGCAGAGACTGGAAGTGCACCTCGTACATGTGCACGACATTCACACCGTCGCGCCTACACACCTTGGCCGGCATTGCTCTCGCATGAAGGCGCGAGCGCAACTCCGCCCCGAATCGGAGGCCGGCCAGCAGCTCCACCAGTGTCATGCTTACACCGATGACCCACTTCAGCATCATCCCAGCCACGCGGTCGTCAAGCTCGTCTCTCACAAGACCGTCAAAGCGGCGGCCAATCTCCACCTGCGCAGCAGGTAGCGACCGGGTCGCGGAGAAAAGAGGAGTGCAAGCACGGCCTGAAGCCTGCAAGTCAGACACCGCGTCGCGGTCGTCTGAAAATCGCGGAAGGCGCACAAGAAATTTGAAGAGCAGGAGCAGGCGCAGCATGATCCCACATCGTCATCAGGAGAAGAAATCGCTATGCCACATGTTCCATTATATATCTCATCCCTGACCGCTCTGCTGTGTATCTCCTCGCCCGCCCGAGCATCAGCTCAGCTGCCCGCCTCTCCGCGCGCATCACCGCCAGCGAAGCGCAGCTGGACACCGCCCACAAGTAGCGACACCGATCCGCCGGCCGGCACGGTCTTTTCAGGCATGAAGCTTCAGCCTCCCTACAAAAAAAAAGAGCAAAGAAGAACACATACAAAAATGGCGTCACACACACACACACATATATATATATACAGAATTCACCGAACTCCCAAGATGTGGCCGTTTGGCAGGAGTAACCGAAAGCCATCAGTTAGCTTGCTCCACCTCAATCATTGTTATCACTGCATTCACAATTGCTGCCGCTGCTGGAATTGATGCCCCGCCAACCGCTCTGCGAGATGGCAAAGCTGTTCATCAAACGATGCCTCAGAGACGGTCGCACCAGTAAGGATGCGCGACACACAAAACGCATCGTCCTCCTCATTACGCCTCTGCTGAATCGCAGCAGCCACATGCTCCTCCGCCATCGGGCGCAGCATATGGTGATAGTACAGTACCTCGAAGAAAAACCAGTAGCGAAACTCAAAGTACTTCTCCAGTAAAGAGTCATCATCCAGAACAATTGGATCAAGAGCAGTAGCAGTAGCAGCAGGACCAGCGTTTCCCGAATCATCTGCAGAAGCCAGCCGCGATTGCAGCGCTTGCTCAATGTAGGGGAGGTCTGTCACCTCCACCCATGAGCACGACGGCGCCTCCCAATCACAGTCGTCACCAAGCGGCGGTGGTGGGTGCTGCCGATACTCCTGCTTGAGCCAAAAGCGGGTGTAGTCGACAGGCACCCCTGGCTGCGGTGGGACATACTGCAGGCGAGGTATCAACTTCAGAAACGACAAAGGCAGCAGTGCGTCATTCATTGTTTCAGTAGCACGTGGCAAAAAATCTCGACGGCAATGGAACATGCGGCTGATGCGCTCTGAAAGGCCCTGGCGGCGCGGGTGACGGCGTGGTGTTCGGAAGAAACGGCGCAGACAAGCCGTCTCGTCGTCAACGTCAACAAAAACAAAATGGTCAAACAGCGCGGTGACACGAGGATCCGCGAATAAGAGAAACCCTTCGCACACGATGTACACCGTCTTATCATTCGCAGGGTTTATGCAGACTGCATTCCTGTTGTCGCTTCTCTCTGCAGCGTGTATTTCAGCACTGCGGTGCCGTTGCTGCGCGTCCTCCTGCTCGTGGGCCGTCAGTGAGTCATCCGAGTGCAGCTCCTGCAGATCCGTACCTGATGCTGGTGATGTCGGTGCGTCGTGCTGCTGGTGGCGCATCAATGCAGCGACGCAGCTCACCTCCCGCAGGTCCGAGGCCGCATCTGAGGGATCTGTGTCGGCACTGTCACCGCGTTGCAGCTGTCGTCGAATATCAGAGATAAAACGAGCGTAGTCGTCGACGCGAATGCAGCGTGGGTCCTCCCACGTGCCGAGCTCCTCGCACATCTTGGGATTGAAGAAGTCATCCATGCCGATGGGGTGTAGCGGTGAGTGCAGCAGCGCCGCGAGTCGGTGAGCAGCAGTCGTCTTGCCCGATGCGCTGCAGCCTGCCACGCCAATCAGCACCACACACGTCCCGGTTGATGTCTGCGCCAACGCCATCCTTCGTGTATCCACCCTTTACCTCCCCCGACTGCGTGGATGCAAACAACAGAGAGTAATACAGGCAGCCGATCTGCACAGGAATGCAACAAGGGGCAGGTTGAATCTGAGGTACTCGCAGCTTTATTCTCTCTGTTTTGTTTCTCTTTTTTGGCCACGCCTCTCCTTGTCTCTTTGCAGGGGCACGAGGCACACCTCTTTAACTCGTCTCCATAAAGAAACGCTCGCCGCGACACGTGTATAGTGTCCCAGTCTCGTGCATAAAATACCCCAACAGCTGCTGCTGCTCCCCCGCCACAGAACCATCTTGCGGTGGTTTATCTCCACAGTTGTCATCGCAATTACTGTTGCTGATGCTTGCCTTCATAGGCTCATCATTTAGAGCCCCCTGTTTGCATCTGTCACCATTCGTATCGCCTTGAGGCGTCTGTTGCATGACGAGCGTCATGGAGGCTAACGCAATGCGATTCCTGCCGTACTGCCACGCGGTGGGGTCAGGCAACGTGCGTGCCTCACACGCCGCACTCAACACAGCGAGAACATCCCCGACTTCTGACAGGGCATCCACGTCGTTAGCTGACGCCTTCGCTAGCGCACCTCCGCCCATACGCAGCGCCTCCGCGATGTTCGCTGAGTGCTGCAACTGGGGCTCCTCATCCGTCTCTCTCAGCGCAAACCACTCAGCCGCCGTTGTAGGTGTCTCCTCGGCAACTCTCTGCCGCTTGCGTGGACTCGCACTGCGCAGAGTACACACAGGGCGTGCGAATTTGTCCGCAGCAGCAACTCTCTGTGCCACTGAAACGACGTACATGCACATCTCCAGCACTGCATCGAGCCCCTGCCCCTCATCGGGCGTGTCGGCGTCTACCAGCTTGCTCTCCACGGGCTTCTCACTCCATGACGTTGCCCACCATGTCTCATCTGCCGCCACCATCGCCGCTGCCTTCCTCAACACCGGCGCCAGCGCGCAGCTGTCCTCTCGCAGTACCGGAGGGTCGTCACCGACGACTACAGGAGAAGCAGCAGCAGCAGCATCAGCAGGAGCGGCGGTGGCGGCGCGTAGGGCATGTGCCGCACCACAATGATAGCCCGTCAAGGCTAGAAAGAGCGCCGATTGCAGTTGCGGCTGCAGTGAAGAATGCAGGTCAGCCGACTGCGCCATGAAGGCATCCACGCACACGTCGAAGATCTGTCCACCGAGGCCAATCTCCGTCGCGAGCAACAGCGCGACGACCTCCACAGTACTCAAATCATCCTGCACCTCAACGTCACGGCACTGCCATTCGAAGGATGAAAAGGACGCAGGCGTGTGCACTTCCTCCTCCCCCTCGTCCTCCAGCTTCTGCTGCTGATGCTGCTGCTGCTGCTGCCGCCAATCATCCTCTACAAATGGAGTTAATGGTGATGAAGGCGTAATGTCAGCGGTTGTGCACGGCGGCAGCAGCAGCGACAGGACGCCAATAAATCGGCGTCGCCAACATTCCTCAAGCGACACCTTGTCGCTACTCGTTGCATCCATCGCAGCGGCACGCACACAGCGCACCGAACAGCGTGTCCCCCTGTGCCTGTGTTGTGGCGCCCCCCGCCGCCCTCACTCTTCCTCCCACCGCTCCCACATCCCACAGACCAAATTCAAAAGGAGAATAAAAAAAAAAAAACAGAAAAAACAGTGATGTGAATGATAAAAAACGAATAGGAGGCGACGATACAATTAAATGCATACATCGCACGACGCATCAATGGGCAAGGTCGGCGAGGCATCTGAGCTCGTTTCACTCGTCTCTGTCACCCCGTGCAGGAAAACCAACCAGCGTCCACAGAAAGACGTGCGTACGTGCATGCAGGCAACGAGTAGCAATCTCGGCAGCGGCACGAGGGAAAGAAGCACTGTCAGCTCCGGCGAGGATGCAACAAACAAATCGAAAGAAAAGTAGAGTCCATTGAACAAAGAAAAAAAAAACACATAAAAATAAAAGAGAAAACGGAAACTCATCTTCTGTAAACCGGTAGAATACACCCCCACCCCCCTCTCAGATGTAGTCATGGCGCAGGAGGGCGCGGCACACCCAACTGGAAAAGCCACGCCCATCCGGCAGCTGTGACGGAATCGCATCATGCGCTGCGCCATCTGTGGCGCTGGCATAGAGCGTCTCCAGCTCCACCTTCACCTGCAGCCGCTGCATCTCCAGTGCCTCGGTATGCCACACCTTGCACGCCTCTTCACCAAAGGTGGTATCACACCCTTCCCATACGTTATGCCAGCGCGCAAGAATATTCACCAGCAGCACTTTATCGCGATGACTGAAGGGCTGAAACGGAAGACGCGGACGAATGCCAGCAGCAGGAGACGATGTATCCACTGTCGAGGAAACAGCAGCTGCGGCATCATCAGTGGCGCACGGCTGTGTAATGTGACAGCTGCGCAAGCCGAGCCAGTGAAGTGCATGCACTGCAGCATAGCGGTTCTCCTGCATGGCCCCCGCACCAAGCTTATACTGCTGCAAAATAGCAAGACCGCTTGGGTTGTAGTCAACGAGCGCCACGACAGGCAGGTGTGGGACGGCACGATGCATGTTCGCCAGGAGCGTCCGCGCCGCAACTGTGGGAAAGCCGTGGGAGGTGAGAAGCACACACGGCACCCGCTCAAAGATTCGCTCCTCCATGAGACGGAAAAACACCGCGTGCTTCTCCACAACGAGGATGTAGCGCGTGCATTCGCAGAGTAGGAAGCCGCCCATGGTGCGGCCATCTTCTGCGGCAGCAGCAGCAGCAGCACCGTCGACACTGCGCCATTCGACGCACAGCTCCTCTTGCCGTGTCGGAAGCGGCATCCCCTCCGACCCGTGGCGGCGCAGGTCGACACCATGAAAGTACAGAGCACCGCCCACGCAACCACGCGTGCCAGGCACCACACCGAGCCACTGCCTCGGGACGCCGAGCACCTGCACGAGCTGCTGGATGGTGCGGTTGACGCAGCCCTGGTCGGGCACAAGGCGGGAGAGGTGGTAGTAAATGTCCCGCTGCGTGCTGATCACACCAAGGTGAAGATTATCGTAAAGCACACGAAGCACCAGCAGCTGCAGCCGTATTACTTGAAGCCGGCTTTCTTGTAGACGCAGAAGCAGCGGTGGTGAGGTTCGTGGTGTTTCACAGACTGCGTCTTTGCTGGGATCCGCAACGCCACCGCCCGTGCGACCCCTCTTCGCAGCGCGTCCCGCTGATGGCAGCGGCGGTTGCGTGTTCACAATTTCGTGAATTGTGTTTAGCACGAACGCCTCCACACGCCGCACGGCCTCAGCCGTCAGCACCACCGGCGTGTGGGCAGAGACAACGCTTGGGCTCATAAAGTCAGCGTCCGGCGGGGTGGCGAGAGGCCGCACTTTGTGCCTAGCCGCCGGCCTCACTGCGGCATCCACTACAGCAGCAATCTCGGTAGCAGCAGCAGCAGCAGCCGACGGCGGCGACAACGGCAAGGGCGCTGTCATTTACTGTCGCACTACACAGTAGACACACATACAGAACAAAAGGAGACATGGTGCAACGATAAGAGTAAAACAGATAAAAGGCAGAACCCAATCCCATCACAATGTACGCATGCAGCCACTCCTACTGCTCAGCACGGCACACCACACGGCGGGTAATTTTTTATTTCGCTTGTCTTCTGTTACGTCATTCCTACTTGACGGAGCTCGGCGGCTCTCCGCGCGCTGCCAGAGGTCTCACAGCTCCTTCCTTCTCTTCCTCGTCGCGTGCACGCTTGCGCAACTCGCGCTGCCGCTGCGCCCAAAGCCGCGACACGGACTGCGAGAAGTCGACGTGGATGCGTTGGTCGTCAACGAGCGCGTTGTCCATCTTCTGAAACGCCCGGTAGCACGCCTCCACGTCGGCGAACTCCACGAAGCCGTAGCACAGCGAGTTGCCCGTCTTTCGGTCCTGCACCACCTCTGCCGAGCGCACCGCGCCGAACTGCGAGAAGCACATCGACAGCCCCTCGCCGGTGGTGAGCGGGTTGAGCTTACACACAAACAGCACATTCTCCGGCGGCTTCATCTCACCAGAGGCGTCGGCGACGCCGTCGAGCAGGTTCAGCATGAGTGTGCGTGTAGCGTTGAGTTTGTCCTGGTGCATGCGCATGACTGCCTGGTGGCGGCTCTCGCGTTCCTTTCGGGACTCTGCGTGTGGAGCCTCCTCGTCGGAACTCAGATAGTCGCCGTGGTAGTGCGGGTTGTACTCCACCGACACCAGATCGTCGCGGTCGTCGTTGCTGTTGTTGTTCTTGTTGCTGTTACCTTTATCATTCTTGAGCGTGTCCGTCTCTCCTGAGATGCCCTGCAGAGGGCGTCCGTACAGCATGAAGAACGCGGTGCCTGGCGGTACGCCTGTGTGATCCCCAGCATTAGAAGCGGCAGAAGCACTACGAAGAAGAGCAACAAGAGCGGAGTTTGCGCGTTTAACTGTTTCTGAGGACGCCCAGTGTCGAAAACATCCCGCAGCCTTGACGGCAAGGCCCAGTGCCCCGGACTCCTGCGCAGAAGTGCTGCTGCTGCTGCGCACCACGTCCGAAAAGGCTTCGGTCCCCGCTGTTGGCAGAACCGTCGCATGCTTGATGCGAATAAGCCGCGTAGGGCGCGCTGCTGCAGTCGTGGCGGACGACACCGATCGTTGATGGGGCGCCGCGCGCATCTTCTCAATGACACGAATACCCTCCCGCACCTCGCCCAGCACCATAAAGTCACCCTCAAAGTAGTCTAGATGTCTTTGGCTCAATGTGAGCACTAGACGGCTTGCTTTCGCGACACTTCCGGTGTCCGATGCGTGCGACAGTTGCGGCACCTCGAGCAGCAGCAAGCCTTGGTGACGTATCGCACCGGCTGCCTCCAATGGGTGCTGCGGCACGAACTGCACCGTCGCGGACCCCTGACGCACTTGCAGTGTCGCCGTGTGTCCCTTCATGCGCTCCCATTCCTGGCGCATCAGCCGCTCAAGAGCAGTGCCTGTTGTCGGCCTCTCAACAGATTTGGCCCCTACTGCAGCGTCACCCACAAGGGAAGGGAACGTCCTGCATCGCAGCGACTCGACAGGGTGCGAGAAAATAATGACGTTGTCAGGGATCACCTCCGTTGCGATGCAGCCGTTGAAGTATTTGCAACGGCACAAGTTGACCACCTCCGCGGTAGCAGCCGGACAGTCAGCGCCGTAGAGGTCCACAATGAAGGAGCCCAGTGAGGTCTCGATGAGAATAGCCGCCGTTACCAAAGGGTGCCGCCCCCCGCTGCGGTGTGGTGGTGGCATCTATACCTGATTCCCTCTCCCCCGCTCAATGTGTGTCTGACTTGCTGCTGGAAGGATGGATGGGGTGGGGGACGGTTCACCTGCCGACGCACACACGCACCCGCAGACCTGCACAGAGCGCTACACCTAGACTTCACCACCACCAGCAACACACACACACACAAACACGAAAAAAAAAAAAGAAGGGCGCACCCAGCAAGCAGAACAAAGAGAGTAAACAATACATGTTCTCGTCCCCAAGGCGCACTGCACCTCCTGCCACATAAGACTCTCTCCTGTTGCGCTTCCACCCACACCCCACACGGCCTGCATGGAAGCAACGTCCCTCCTCCGGGCCCACTCAGTCACACATACAATCAAACATACACACACTCGTGTCACGCCCGCTCGACGTACGCCGCCAGCACCCACTCCTTGAAGCACGCCGGGCAGTCGCGGCGCTGACGGTACCAACTCTCAATGCAGTGCTCGTGGAAGGTGTGGTCGCAGACGCCCCTCACCACACGGCAGTCCGCCTCCGAGCGCCCCTTCACACGGCAGTCGAGGCAGCACTCGACCAGATGCAGCTTGCACACCAGGCACTCGTTCAGCGCCATCTCCGTGTGCTCGTATGAGCAGGCGAGGACGGCCTCCTTTATTGCGACGGCAATGCGTTGGGGCTCGCTGCTCGACTCCACACGCGCCATGGCAGTTGGGACGGCCAAAGTTCAACAAACCAAAAAAAGAAAAGCAGTAAGAAGCTTTCCTCTACACTGCAAGCATACAGTAGAGGAACACTGGCGCGACGAGCAACTTGCTTCCCTCTATTCACTTCTCTTATACCCGTCCTTCTTTCTTTTATTTTGATTTTTTCCTTTCTTTATTTCTTTCCCCTTTTTTTTCTCCCCGTGGGCATGCGTGAGTGCATGTGTGGTCGTTTAAATGATAAACGGGCGGGCGGCAACAAAAGAGAAACAAGAAAACAAGGCAGCCTTCCGCAGTGCAACACAGCCGACGTTGGGCCTGTAACGTCAACCAGTGAAGAAAAGACACGAAACGCAAGGCACCATGGCGCAGAACTTCGTTATGGGCCCATTGCAAGAGAGCAAAAAAAAAAACACGGGTATGCTGCAGAAGCAGATAATGTCTTCGTCATCATTCCATAATGTTTCCATTCACCTCCGCCTCCTCTCGCATTGTGGCCACCACATCAGGAATCGTTTCTAGCTGTCTTGACCACCTCCCACTCCCGCCCACATATTGGACACAATGAGCGCTGCCGCGCCCAGCGCGAGATGCAGTGGTGATGGAACACGTGATTGCAGACACCCCACACAATGAGGCACTCGCCTGTAACATCATCGTCCCATGTCGAAGCGACCATTGTAATCCTCGACGCAGGCTGCGACTGCCCGCTGAGGGGCCGCGCTGCCCTTCCGCCTCTGATGTCACTGCGCATGTTATTGTCAATGCTGTTATTGGTATTGCTACTAGTTGTGGTGGTGGCGATGTTGCTTCTGGCATGACTGCTGTTGGGGTTGCTGCTGCTGCTGCTGCTGTCGTTGCGGTGTCGGCCACCTCCGCGGCACTCGATGCACATGTCAGCAATTGCGCTCTTGCAAATAGCACACGTTTCAACCTGCACGTTCCACGACCACACCGCCACCGCGTCCCACTGCTTTGCCACAATGCTGCACGCAGCCGCATCGCCCTCGCCCACCGCCGCGTCGTCCGCGTGGGAGTTACGAGACGAGGGCTCCATCCTTCTCGCCGCCTCACACCCACACCGCGCGCCGTCACGTTCTGGCACCCGCTGGTTGGAGGGAGAGAGAGAGAGAGAGAGAAAGAGAGAGGGCAGGAGAAAGGAAAGAGAGAAGCGCGCAAGAGTGAGCATCATTTTTTTTTTCTTTTTGCGGTTCCCTGTTTCGTGAAGCGCAGAGAGGCAACCGTCACAGCAACTATAAGCCATGATCACACAGATGCAGTTACGATAAACCACACACACACACACACATATATATATATATATATATGTATGTATATTTGTATTGATTCACTCAGCGTTGAGGGGATTGCCACAACAAAAAAAAGGGAACAGAGAGAACACTCACGTGGGTCAGAATAAACGACCATGGGCGTCTTCTATGAGTCTATCACGCGCACGTGCAATGCGGGCGCCCTCCATCTTGAGGCGCTCCACCATCAGCGTCATCTCCCGCAGCTGCCGCGACTTCTCCTCGTCCTGCGCGAGGAGCTCCTGCACACGCGCGTCACATGACATGGCCTGCTGCTGGTTGAGCCGCACCGCCGCCTGCAGGTGCTCCACCTTCGCGGCCACAACCTCCGCCTCGCGCTCCCGCGTCGACAGTCGAGCCTGCGCCGCCGACAGC